GTGTGGCGGGTGAGGCTGGTGCTGCTGTGGTTGTCGGGTTGAAAGTCGTGTTGGTCCCGTGGCTGGACTCGTTCAGCATGTAGACAGGCTTGACATGGTGATGGGCCTGTCGCGCACGAGAATTTGCATCGTCTTGTATATCCGTGACAGGACCTGGTAGGGGCCGCAGTAGGGGGGCTCCAATGCTCTGCGGACTGCATCCTGCCAGAGGACGTGAGTGCAATTACCGAGGTCTCTGTGCGCGAATGTAGCTGGGGAGGCGTGCCGTGTTGCCGGGATCGGTCTGAGTCGAGCCATATGCTGCCGCAGTTCAGTGATTAACTGTGCTGGGTCTGCTGGTTCGGTGGTCGGTGTTACCAGCTCGCCAGGAACTCTGATGGGCTGCCGACGTCGGTAGGGGGCCCACAAGGTCAATATGGACGTGCAAGAAACGGGATGCCAGCGGTGTAAAGTCGCCCAATGGAGTCACGGTATGGCGAGAGACCTTGGCGCGCTGGCAAGACTGGTAAGCCTGGGCCCAGGTGCGGCAATCCTTCCGCATGCCCAGCCACACAAACCGCTCTGTGACCAGCTCGCTGTTGCTCTGGTGCCTGCGTTCGACAGCTCGTGTACGGACCTGAACACTTGGGGTGATAGAGGGGCTGGAATGTAGGGTCGAGGTTTCCCGGCGGAGGTGTCGCAATAGAAGGATACCGTAGTGCCGGGGATCGGTAGTTTCTTGAGCCGTAGGGCTGTGGTTGACCCCAGGATTGCTTGGAGTTCGTCGTCGTCCTGCGATCCGGCCAGTGAGTCTTATGATGGTGGTGCAGTGACAGACTCGACGCGAGAGAGGGCGTCGGCGACCATGTCCTGGCCGGAAATGTGCTTAATATCTGTCGTAAACTGGGCGACGAAGTCCAGATGATTGAACTGCCGCAGTGAACATTTGTCCCCGCTTCTGCTGGAAGGCATAAGTGATGGGCTTGTAGTCAGTGAAGATGGTGAAGTGGCGTGCTTCCAGCACATGTCGGAAATGTTTGACGGCCTCGTAGATGGCCAGCAGCTCGCGGTCGTAGACAGGGGTTAAGGTTTTTCGAGAAAAAGGCGAGAGGCTGCCAGACGTTGTTGACTTGTTGCTTCAGCATGGCACCCATGGCGGTGGAGGCATCCGTGATGAGTGCGAGTGGCGTGGATGGGTAAGGGTGTGCGAGCAGAGTGGCACGTGACAAACTCGCCTTGCAGTCTTCAAATGCCTTCAGGAGATGGGGTGTGAGCCCTTGACTCTAGGGCCGGAGAGAACGTCGTGCAGTAGTGCTTGGCTGGCAGCCGCGTGGGGCAGAAATCGCCGGTAGAAGCTAACCATGCCCAGGAAACGATGGAGCTGGCTGGTGGTCTTTGGTGGTTGGTAGTCCTGCAGATGAGTCACTCGCTCTGCCAGAGGTTTGGACACCTTGTAGCCGAGGAAGGTGACCTCAGGTGCTCAGAAGACGTACTTCGTCGGGTTGATTATGATCCCGTGTTTCTGGAGTTGCTGGAAGAGTTCCCGCAGATGAACCTCGTGCTCCTCTGGTGATCTGGAGAATACGAGGATATCGTCCAGGAACACAAAACAGAAGTCGAGTCCCCGCAGAATGTTGTCCATAAACCGTTGGAAGGTTTGGGCGGCATTGCGCAGGCTGAAGGACATGAAGGGGAACTCAAACAGGCCGAAAGGAGTGGTAATGGCCCTCTTCTGGATGTCGCCAGGATTGACGGGAATTTGGTTATAGGCTCATACCAAGTCGATTTTGGAGAAAAAGGTACAGCCATGGAGCTGGTGTGAGTAGTTGTGGATATGCGGGACTGGGTAGCGGTCAGGGATTGTCCGGGCATTGAGTGCTCTGTAGTCGCCGCAAGGACGCCAACCGTTGTCCGTTTTGGGAACGACGTGCAGGGCCTAGGAACAGGAGCTTTCAGAGCGGCGAGCTGTGCCATCTCACAGCATAACGTCGAACTCTGACTTGGCGATGGCTAGCCGGTCTGGTGCTAGCCGCCGGGGTCGGCAGGTCACTGGTGGGCCTAGTATCGTCCGTATGTGATGCACGGTGCTGTGGCGGACTTCGCGCTGGACTCCGGCTGGGCTTGTGAGGTCCAGGAATTTGGAGATGAGGCTGTCGACCGGTGTGCCGCCAGTGCTGGTCTTGATGCTCGAGATCTGCATGCTGGCGGCTTGAGCCCGTATGAATAACGTCGTGACCCTGTCCATGAGACGCTCGTTTCGGCAGTCCACCAACAGGCCAAAATGGGAGAGGAAGTCCACACCGATGATGGGATGCGTGACGTCGGCCACTATGAAACGCCACGTGAAATCCCGGCGGAGACACAAGTTGAGACTGAGAGGCAGCCATCCGTGTGGTTGGTAGTGCCATTAGCAGTGCAGAGGTCGTAGTTTGCCCTCTCCTTCCGTCGCGGAACAAGCCTGCGGGGGGTATACACACAGGTTGGAACTGGTGTCGACCAGGAATTTCCGCTTGCTGTACTTGTCGGTGATGAAGAGGCGGCCCGTTGTTGTAGAGCAGACGTGTGCCACCAGTGGTGTCTGCTGCTTTAGTTTCCCTGCTGGTGGTAGTCACAGGGTGAGGTACACCTTTGTGCCCGGGCCCCGAAACGACGATGGTACCAGCAGAGGGTGGTTGCGGGGTAGTCTCGGGAAGGGGATCTGCTGTGTGTGTGGCGGTTCCTGGGAACGGGGTCGGGGTCCCTGGTGCTGTTGCGGGGCGGTTCTGCTCGGCCCAGAGTGCTGCCACCTGTCGGGAAAGTTCCTCTATCTCTAGCCTGAGTGCGGCGTTGAGTGATGGCCCAACACTAGCGAGCGCCGGTTGCGGTGCTGCCTCAGTGATGCGGTCTGCGCAGCCGGCTGTGGTTTCCAAACTGCACTCATTTTGGCAGGTGAGTATGGTCCTTATGTGGGGGGCAGCCGACTGGACCAGATGGTGCGCAGAATGTACTCGATCATGTCGGGGGTGAGGGTTCTGAGATGCCTCAAGAACTGCAAAGACTTACAGTCGCCCATCTCCTCGACCGTGATGAGTTGATGGATGCGTTGCTGCTTCAAGGGGGTCAGCCGCCCCACAAGCTCGGCCCTGAGCGTGGCATAGGGGTTATGTTCGGGCGGCGCAGTGATGATGTCCACAACGCTTGCCGCATAACGTTGGTCCAGCTGCGATATTGTGTAATAAAATTTGGTTTTTTCATCCCTTATGTTGGCCAATGAAAACTGTACGTCAGCCTGGGCCAACCATAAGGCAGGCTGCTCGGCTCAGAACGGCGGGAGCCGCATGGTCACTCTCGCGGCCTCAGTTAGTGTTGTGCTGTCAACGGTCACCATACTTTTTCGGGGTCATCAATGTTGAGTCGTTATTATTGTTCACCACACGCGCTTGCTATATACCTATTCTCACAGTTTGTGCCACCGCGAGTGTGCCAACAGATTTCACTCCTCCGTAGTAGGTGGAGTCTTACGGCCATCCAGTTGGCCTGTCTGGACGGTGATGTAACGCTGCCTCAGCCGGTTGTTGAAGTTGCGAAAGCTGCGTTCGCTTCCTGGTCACTGGAGACTTGCTGCTGCTGTTTCGGTTGCCTGGTCCCTGGAGGCTTGTGGCAACTACGTCAGTTGCCCGGTCGCAGTAAGGAGTTGATTCCTCTGTCTGGGCTGCTGTCTCGGGATGAACTGATTGCACCATTGGCTCCCAGTCTTAAATACTGCTGGCTGGGAGGCAGAGCTAAAGTTGCAGTTGTCACGGTGCGTATCCATTGGTCGTGTACGGAAAGACGGGGCCACAGGTGAAGTTATAAATATATGCAGCTAGTATATAAGCTGGAGTGTGTATAAATGCTCCGTCTCTTTGGTCACAGCTGCCTGTTTGGCACTTTCTGAAAGGGGTGATGGTTGTCTGCCAGACACTGTGCGAATGTTCCCACAGTATGTAATGTCATGTTTCACGAGAATTCGTTTTTACTGCAAGGAAGTAAAATAATGTCACTTGTAGGGGTGACTTATACTCGTAGATGGGGTTTTGGATTGGATGATTGGATTTATTGCACCTTATACATTCACACAACTTGTCACTACAGACAATACAGCGCTATCGCTGATCTTCACACTTCCCAGTTCACCAGTACACATGCACTATGATACTCAGTCTTCCCCTGTCGTATCCTGGCAACAGATTTATCAGTCTGTCACTTCAAATCACACATGAAGTCTTCTTTTCACAGCCTAATTCCTTTCTTGCCATTATTCTGCAACTGCCAGTTCTGAAGACTGGACTCAGTTCAATTCCTCTAATCCCAAGCTCATGTACTGGCAAGCTGGCATCTCAAAACTTCACTCTTCACATCTGTTCTATCATGTTGTATGCTCCCAAACACTTCCTTATAATGACCGCATGAACCACGCAGGAAACACAGCCCCTATTGTTAAGGAGTCATGTTCACTGATCCATCGCTTAGCAGTGGACATCCTATTGTTGTGCGCGTTTGTTTATGTAGGAATATATTTACTGAGTCATTGCCTATATGTCACAAAAATATAGATTAAATTTGTAATTTTTGGAAATACTGATGTTTTGGTGGTACAGTAAGCCAGTTCAGATCAACATGGTTTTGCTTACCAAGGTCCCATTGTATATGCATGATACGTAATAGTAATAGTAACAGTTAATCTATCCAGACACTATACTGACTGTAGTTATCAGATCCCTCCTCTCATCGAAGAGGAGGCCGCATGCAAGACATGTTAAGTGGTCATGGAATGAGCAGGAATGTGATCATTGGTTTTGATGAGGCCCAAGGAAAAGAATGACTGTGCTGGTGAAGGCCAGCAGCAAGTTACCATACTGCTGTGCCCAGGAGTTGCACTGTGTGTGGATCCAATGAGGTCTCCAGTTCTCCTTGTTCCAGTCAACGGTTTGTACTTAATTATTGTGTTCAGGAGACTACCTCTTTGCATTCCGCAACTGTAGCTTCTCAAGATGGACTCAGCATCACAGAGTTAGTTAGTTACATCGGGTAAGGTTGGTAAATTGCTTTGTACCTTTAGACCCTTAACCTAATTACTACAGGCATTAAAAATTGTAAGAATATGAGATGATATTCTGCTGCTTCTGATTGGATTTGTAAAAACTTAGAAGAGTTCTCATCTTTTCATAACTATAGCAGTGGTTACATAATGTTTGCAGTGCCACCATCAGTGATGGAATCTGGGGAAAGTAGAGTTGAAGTCATCGAGGGAGACTCTGTAGTCATAGCTTGTCCTCCCATCGATGCAATCCCACCACCACAGATCCAGTGGCTGAAGGTAACAATAATATCTCAACATAGCTTACTGTGTAAGTAAAGATCATTTACAGTAGATATAAATATGAGGAATGAATTTTTTTTTTGTGAGGAGTTGTTAGAACCATGCTTTGTTGGCTGTCCACACCTGATAATTCAGTATATTCGCAGCTACCCTCCATAGCTTGCAATTAAAATTAAGAACAAAAACATTCGAGGCCTGTATACAGGAATAAATGACTTTAAGAAGGGTTACCTACCTAGAAGTAACTTAGTGAATGTTGATCTGCTTGCAGATCCCCACAGCATTTTGAATAGGTGGAAGAACTACTTCTCTCAGTTATTGAATGTACATAGGGTCAGTGATGTTAGGCAGAAAGATACAGCTTAGCTGTTAGTACCTTAGCCATTCTGAGGCTGAAATTGCTATTGCAAAATTGAAAAGGTAAAAATCGCCAGGTATTGATTAAATTCCACCAGAACTTATTCAAGCAGGAGGCGAAATATTATGTTCTAAGATCCATAAGCTAATTAAATCTCTCTGGAATAAGGAAATATTACCTGATCAGTGGAAGGAGTCTATTATTGTACCAGTTCACAAGAAGGATGATAAAACTGACTGTAGTAATTATAGGGGGATATCACTGCTATCAACTTCATACAAAATTTATCCAATATTCTTCTCTCAAGGTTAAGTCCATATATAGATGAAATTATAGGGGATCATCAGTGTGGGTTTCGACGTAAGAGATCAACTACAGATCAGATCTTTTGCATTCATCAGATATTGGAGAAAAAATAGGAGTATGATGAGACAGTACATCAGCTATTCATAGACTTCAAGAAAGCCTATGATTCAGTTAGGAGGGAAGTATTGTACAATATTCTGATAGAGTTTGGGGTACTCATGAAACTAGTTAGGCTGATCAGACTGTGCTTAAATGAAATGTATGATGAAGTCTGTATAGGTAAACATTTGTCTGATAATTTCCCCATCCAGAACGGTCTGAAACAAGGAGACATTTTATCGCCACTGCTTTTCAACTTTGCTTTAGAATATGCCATTAGAAAGGTCCAGGAAAACCAGGTGGGACTGAAATTAAATGGGACATGTCAGCTGCTGGTGTATGCTGATGATGTGAACCTACTGGGTGATAATAAAACGGTAAAAAGCTAAAGTTTTCCTTGTGCTTAACTAATTAAGCACTATGCCATGAAGGCGTATGGGAGAGTAGATGTATAGATCCATATTTTCTTCACCTCAGCACTAGTTGGAAGTGAGTGGTCAGTTTCACTCCCCGGCCGCTTTACCCCTGGGGAAAGAGCCCCAGGTACTCATTAGATAGGAAGTTGGGTGGACCTCAGAGCTGGTCTGGATGATTTAGAGAAGAGAAAATTCTTGTACCTTCCGGAACTCAAAACTCTGACCCCTCAGTCTTCAAGCCCATAGCTAGTCACTATACGAGCTACACTACCCTGGCAGTGAGTGATAATATAGATAGCATGAGGAAAAACATAGGAACCATAATTGACACTAGTAAAGAAGTTGGTCTAGAAGTAAACAAAGAGAAAACTAAGTTTATGTTGGTGTCTCGTCACCAAAATCAGGCCAAAATCATGACATAAAGACAGTTAACAGATCCTTCAAAAATGTGTCACAGTTCAGATATTTGGGAACAAAAATATCAAACCAAAACCTGGTTTAGGAGGAAATTATGAGGAGATTGAACTCGGGTAATGCTTGCTACCATTCAGTCCAGAACCTTTTTCTTCTTGTCTGCTGACTAGAAACGTAAACATTAAGACATACAAAACTATAATTTTGCCTCTGGTTCTGGATGGGTGTGAAACCTGGTCTCTGACACTATGGGAAGTACATAGACTGAGGGTGTTTGAGAACAGGGTGTTGAGGAGAATATTTGGACTGAAGAGAGATGAAGTGACAGGAGGCTGGAGAAAACTCCATAATGAGGAGCTTCATAACTTGTACTCTTCTCCAAGTATAATTAGAATGATTGAGTCAAGGAGGATGATGTAGCATGAATGGGGGAAGAAGAGGAATACATGTACAGTTGGTCTTTGAACAGTTTCTGCACTTTTATATTTTGGAAGAAAATGGAAAGAGCAGGAGGGTTGTGGGGGGGGGG